GAGGTGTCACATGAGGGGCAGCTGAGGAATCAGAATATTTTGCCTAGAAAAGAGAATTCTTGGGTGCTGGTTTCAGGAAAATGAAAGATCATCTGTGGCACATGACTTGGACTTATTCTGAGATCTTCAGAAGATGATGTGTGAACGAAACCTGCTCGATTCCAGCTTTGTGATAGAGCTGTGTTTCCTGACACACAGCATGTCCTGTTTGAATAACATTTCAGGTGCTATCCCTCTCACTCTGCTCTTTGGCTCCATGAAGGGGACAGGGACCATGTTGTGTGTCCTGTTGTCTTTCTGTCTCCCTTGGACTCCTCTCTTTTATGCTTACACCTTCCTCTGTATTGTCCCATGTATGCCAATCTTCATCGCATTCTCTGAAATACAAACTCATCCCACATGCTTCTTATGGTCATCATTCCTGACAGTTACCAAGAGTTAACAAATAGATACCGTGACCCCTAGCACCACGACCTCTGCCAAGAATAAGCAGTCTGAGCCAGACATTACAAAGAGGTCATGGCGGCCACTGAACTGGGCATCTGAGATAACACTCAACCCCACCTAATTAGCATTTACCATGCCCAGGCACTGGGCTGAAGGTCCTGCATGAATTTACTCATTTAATCTGCAAAATAATTGAGATGGATAATTTTATTATCCTCATTTATAGATGGGGAAGCTGAGAGTAAGAGAGATTAAATAACTTGTTGAGAAACACCAGCAGTCTGACAAATCTGTACTACCTCCTGGATAAATCTAGAGTTTCCTGAGAGGGGAAGGGTTGGGTGTGTGATCAGAGAAGACAGGACCCAGTGGTAGTGGGGAGAAGAGATGGTCTGTGCTAGAAGTGTGCTCCAGGAGGGACAAATGGAGGCGAGTACAGACGAGGTAAAGACACATCCTGTGGTAGCAGAAAGGGCAACATGGGCAGATGGCCTTGGGAGCCCTACTTTGTCCAATCTTTTTCCATTTGTTAAAACTTGCTTCTTCCTGATATTTTCATCAGCATTTTAAATTATGCAGAATTGCTGAGTTGCTACATATACTCTGTGTAGACCTATCCCAGCTTATGTTAAGTTTGGGTATATGGCTTAAGTGAGGTTTTCCTAGATTTTTCTCATTCCACATGAGCGATACGTGGCTACCTCCCTTTGCTCCATCTAGGAACAGCTATCATGCTGCACCACCACGGGCAGGGAAAACAGAAAGAAGTTCGGTCTGATCTCCTTTCTCTCCCCCTATGATGTAAACTGCCCCCCAAGTTGGATAAATGGAAATGCTGAGCCTCAGGGAAGCAGGGTCTAGAACAAATATTTTGGTGAAAGAATCTACAGTATTTTTACCCCTTTCCATACAGATGGTGCTGATTCCCAAGCTTGCTAGAGAATATGTATTTGGAGAAGCCAGGAAGAGAGGCTGCCCACTTTGCAGTTTCAATTTTTGTGTTGATGTAATTAAAAAAGAGAACATCTATTTTTAATCTGTGTACTCTGGATATTCTCCATTGGCTCCTCAGACTGACCCTCGACCTGTCATAGGGCTTCATGGGCAGATTCACCCAGGTTCCCCTTCACCCTGGATTACAGTTGGGTTTGGCCAATGGAAGGAACAGGCAGAGGAGTAGAGAGTAGGAGGAGATGACCTCTAGGAATTAGTCCCTCATCCCCGCCCCATGGTTTGGCGGTAGTGTGCTTCCCTGCTTAAACCCACAGCTCCTGTTGGGTGGCATCTCTGCCATCTCTCCCTTGTCCCCTCTTGCCTAGGAGTGGTAACAGCTTCCAAGAGATCCTTCCCCATCCTTGGTGATTTCCTTGACCCTGCCCAGCCCTCTGTAAAATTCCTTTCATTCAACGGTGCTCAGTTACCCTTTGAATGTGCCATCTTTCTGCTGGAATCTTTGCTGATACATTTGTCTCTTGATAGACTTTAAAAAATGAAATACGTGGATCACAGAATCAAACCACTCAAAGTGAACTTTAATATTACATACATTTTATAGGAAATAAATAATTCAGGAAAATTTACCTATAATTTTAAAAAATCACAAAAGATACCAGGAAAAAAGAGAGTAACTTGCTGAAATAAAAGTTAATGCCCAATACATGGCCTTGGTCCCATGTGTAAAGTAGACAATAGCTTTTGTGAATTGCTAAAATAATATCTATTTCCATAGTGTGTATTTCAGGTGATCACAATATTTCGTAAATTTAAAAAAACAATTATGATGCTATTAGGTGACTGGAGGCATGTTATAGATGTGCACGCAGAGGAAATCCAGCGGAGTTAAGTGTTTGATGCAGGCAGACAGTCATCAAATACCGGAGTCACAATACCATGTCACGAGTAGGACAGCAGATCCAAGCCTGCTTTGCTCCCTGTGAATGACTCAAGCAGGGGCTCTTCCCAAATTCAGAAAGCCGCTGGATTTGCTCAAGTGAAATAAACCTCTGCTGAAGTGCATGCTAATTGTCCTCCCTGCCTTTCAAAGTCATCAAATTCTAAACCTGAATATGTTGTTTTTCTCAGTTCAAATCAGAGCTGACGTCACAGTAGCATTAGGACAATCCTTCTTTCAAAGTGCACAGACACGAACAGGCAGGGGCACCGAGAGATTAACTTAATGACGCCCAGAATGTGGGCCGGAGTCACTCGCCCTGCGGCTCAGAGCCTGCAGCGCCTCCAGCCTGGCAGTTTGGGGTGGCGTGGTTTCTAGAGCTTTGGTCTGGCTCTAGGTTCTCATAGGTCCAAGCCTCTTAGAGATTCAGCTTTGAGGTCCCCTCCACTTTCGGGGGCTTTCTGTAACTTCTGAGCAAACTCAGGTCCTCTCAGGTCTTTGGAGATCCAAGGCCATGATTTGGTTCCAGAATTTCCCAGCTCCTCTTGGGAAGGATGACCTGGGACAATTCAGCGCCAGAGAGAGGGCTTCAGCCCACGTGCTTCTGGACACCTGAAGTTGGGGCTGGCATTCTGAGGTAAATATCGACTATAGTTTCTTCCTTTTCATTCCACTGGCTCATGAGGGCAAAGAGTAAAATCTAGGTCTTCTTTCATCACGGCTCAGTTCTCCAATACACCAGGCTAAGTTCCATGTTCTTTATTTAACTTGAAATGAGTCAGTCAACTTACACAGGTACGTCTGATGTGACAGGATTTTCAAAAGGGAAGTGTTCACATATCTAATCGAAGTAATTTTTCTGTTACCTTTAAATTGCCATTAATAGTAGGCAATTTACTTTCAATTCTTTCTATGTATATATTGGTGCAAATGAAGTAACAGAATGTAGTCGTTTAACACGCTGCAAGGAACAGGGCACATGAGGAAGCAAAGCTCTGGAAATCGGCCAGTTCTTAAATAAAAGGCTTAAACTTATATTTTGGGCCCCAGACTGAATCATTTTGTTCCCACTAGTGATATCACGTCCAAGTTTGTTTTTGAGGGTCTCAGGCATTATTCCAGAATTTGGGGGGCGGCAAGGCATGGTGAAGGATTGTAGTTAATGTTTTCATTTGGAGGAAGGAAAATATGTGATAAAAAGAAATCAGTCTTCCAGATTCACTGTAACTTCAGGATTTTATGTTTAGGAATAACCCAAGAGCCTAATTAGTCCTATTTAAAACAATTTCTTAACTTCAGAATACTTGGTAGACAGGAAGATTTATTTACATGTCCAGATTTTAGTTAAATTTTGCCTGGTTTGTTTAATTTAGTAGAAAAGCAAACCATTTATTTATTCTGTTTAAAATAGCTGATTTGACATAGACTGTTTGTGTCAAGACACACGAGGCCTGGATTGTTCACATTTTCTCTCAGCCATCAGATGACTGATAACTACTATAGGAAATGGTTTTGCGCAAGCAACTCAACGAGACTTGGGAAAAAAATAGCATCCCTTTTTGGTTTTTCAAACAGCTATTCAGTAATAACACATTGCGAAAAAAATAAGGTGATTCTAGTATTTTGAAGATCATGCAGTAAGGAAAATAATCCTCTAATATGAAACACTAATTGAATATTTTAAACTCTAATTTACAATGCAACCACACTTTACAAACTTGCCAAATTAAACATATTTTCTCCCACTTTTACCTCATTTAAAAAATACTATATCTACACTATAAAATGTTACTTGGGGGAATTCGTCAAATACTATTCCATTTTCAAATTTCTGTTTTATAGTTTATTTTTGTAACATTTCAGATGAGTTTACACAGTAATTAAGATATGATTAAACAGTGCAAATTCACTGAAACATTTTGATGCTGAGTTGACACTATGCCAAAGATTTAGAAATATATTAAGATATGACTCACATGATTTCCTATATAGTACCAGTCAACCATGTGTCCCAGTTAAAAATATGGACATTTGAATTTTGCTACAACACAGTCATCTTAATAAGTAGATGTGAGTCATGAACTCAACATCAGCATTAAAAGGATTCCAATGTATCCGAAGAATTGACCCGATTTTTTGGTTTTTAATCCTATTATTTGGCTTTAGGTGTAGCCTCATATCTCCTCCCCCAGAAACAGAATGAAGAGCATTAATCAGAATTACCTCTCTTAATATCCTGTTGTTTGTTGTTGAGAGGAAATTTCCTAAAATCCTCTGGATTACTATTAGCACAATGGGCATTATAAAATAAATAACCTGGCACTTGGACACATAGATTCCGGGGGTTAGTGAAGAAGCTGACGGTGACCAACCGAGCCCACTCATCTGAGCGTGATGCTGCACGCTGAGGGAGCACTGCCACCGACAGACATCGCACAGCAGGGGCCCGCGATCTGCAACCTCATTATCAGAGAGGGTTTGTCAGGCAGGCACAAGGCACCGGGCTTGGCTGCTTCCACAGATCGACTTTCCGGAGAATACACATGAAGCCTTATCTGGTCAGACTGTACACTGTGTATTTAATACAGTAGTAGCATATAAGATTAAAACAGAAAACACGGTAACTATTTAAGGTTTTAGACAAATTACAAAACCACATGCTTTCTCATTCAACAGGAAAGCTTAAAAGTCCAATGGATCTTAAACACTGTTGGTTGTTCCTCAAAGGCGGTGTAACGTGCTCTCGGAGGGCAGGTTGTATAGATCTTCTGACACTTCCCGTGAAGGGCCTTGTCAGCACATCTGTGGCCCAAGCACTGCTGAAATGTCTGTTTTATTAGGGTAGCTTCATTTTGTTTATAAACTAACGGTTTTCATTTCTCCAAGGAATCATTTCAAAACGTTCTTCCAGATGCTAACTCAGCACTACTGAGCGACTATCCACAAGGGCCAGCTACTTACTGGCACTGGGACTGTGTGGAACAGGAAGTCGGTGCTGCCTCTCGTGTCCTCAATGACACCCGGCAACAGAGCACGGACCGCAGCACTCTTAGCACAGGCGGCCTAAAGATGGCAAAGACCCAGGGGTCGATAATCGGATTGATCGACAGAAACCTAAGGGCTTGGAGGTCCCACTTTTCTCTTCGGGAAAAGGCTTCATCCATATATGCAAAAATCTGTAAGACACAAAGGGGAAAAGAGATGTCAGTTACCTTGCAGCCGCGGACAGGCTTAGACGGCATGCACCTCCCTAAGGCGTGGCGTGTGTGGTGGTGGAAGGCGGGCAGGAAAACCGCAGTCTTCTTCCATGTGCGGATCGTAAAGAATGAAGTCACGTTTTCTGTAATTGTACTCAACATTAACATAGGTGCCATGTCCTGAGCTTGTCACTGGGGATGGAGGAAAATGAATAAACTATTCTTGGCACTTCGAATGCTAATAACAATATTAGTAGCTCCCATTTATTAATAACCTAATGTATGTCTCATGAATTGACTGGGTACTAAACCCACTTTATTTCTAGTCTGAAACAAAGTATTGTCTCCCTTTGACAGATGAGGAAGTGAACATTAGTAAAGTTAATAACAACATGTTCCATTTACTTTCAAACACTTAATCTCATTTAATTATCACAATTCGGTGAGAGAGGGTACATGCCAGAGCACCCTCCTCGGGAACACAGTTCTGGCTGTTGGACTGCCTGGGTTTGAATCCAGGCTCCATGTTCAGCCTTGGGACTGTAGGTAAGAAAATTAACCTCTCAGTGCCTCAGTTTCTAATCCTTAAAACGGGCCGTAATAACAGTGACACCTGCCTCAGAGGATGTTGGGAGACAACAGGAAGTAACATGTGTGAACTACTCAGCACAGCACTCACCTAAGAGATCCTCAGTGTTCCTGCCGTCATCTCCATCTCCCACCAGGGACACCACGGCGCAGGGGAGGCGGGTGACTGGCCCAAGCTCCCAGGGCTGGTTAGTGCCAAGTCAGGACACAAATTCCAGCCCCCTCCACACCAGCGCAGTGCTCACTGTGCACTACATCTAGGTGCCGAGATTAGGGCCAAGGCTTTCAGAACAATGTCCTAAACACGGGAAAGCTGACATGTCTTCACACACTAGCCAATGTTTTCACTGGGATACCAGCTCTCATCTGAGTCCTTGGATATTTAGGGGGTAACACAACTTTTTGGTTAGATTGAAAGGAATGGAACAGTATACACTCAACAAAGATCAACCACTTCTACCCGGTTTACAGAAAAGAGGAAAACACATGTCAATCACACTCAGTCATTGAAAATCTGTTCTTCTAAAGCTCCAGGGACTTCCTTACCAGTGGTGGCCCAAGGGTTAGTGAGCTATTCCCTCTGGCCTCCACTCTCCTTTGCCAGAAGAAGGAAGGGTTTATTTCCTCTCCCTGAGACTCACGCTACAGGAATCTGGCAACTGGATATACAAAGCAAATTGCAGCGAGCGAGAAGAGTAGTCATCTTCTGGCTGCTTACGTCAGGACAATAGTAGGAAAGTTTGCAGCCACAGGTGTTTATGCCAGAGAATCTTGGCATAGGGAATGGAGAAAAGACTTGGCAGACAAGTAAGGGAAAAGAAGAAAAGAAGAAATCAGGGTTTCCCTGATTATAGAGAGAAGAGTTAGGTAGGGATATGCAATAGAGCAATAATTTTCTTGTCAGCTGAACTATTTTGGGTGAGAAATATACAGTACTTATATGGTGTATTTAAGGAGCGAGTTTTGAGTTTAGAAATTCAGGATACTAGTGTAGGTAAGTCTGATAGATTAAAATATATTAGTCACTACTCACACCCTGCCCCCCCCCCCCCGACTCCACACACACACAACGAGCCCTTCGTTGTAGGAAAAGTAGGTAGCTGAGTTTATGATCTAGTTTCACCAAAGAATTTGGCAACACTGCATTGGCCCCCGCACGGGCAGTGTAGTGCGGGCTGGCTCAGCGACCCAGCACCACAGCTTCACACATGAGACGAGTCAGGTTTTCAGTGGAGAACAGCCCACAGCACAGTTCCTGATCCCTGGAGAGTGTGACAGAGCCATGAGAAGTGCAAAATGATTCTAGAGAATGAAGCAATTCTGTATTATTTGCTTCCTGTCCTTTTCATGCACTATGCTGGGTAATTTTTAGAAATGCTTACAACTTGCATTTCTGGAGGTGGCCACTATTTTGTGGAAGACAATTTCTTCTTTTACACTTGGAAAAGGGATGTATTCAGTGACAAAGTTCTTGATGTAAGTGTTGTCTTCTCCTATCTTCCCGTTTTTTTTCTTTGGTTCCTGTCTTTTGCCTACAGCTCACCATTTTTGATCTTGTGGATCCTGGTTTGTTTGTTTTTTTAATTGTAAAATATACATAGCATAAAATTTACCATTTTAACCATTTGCAAGTGTATAACCAGTGGTATTAAGTACTTCACATTGTAGTGCAACTCTATTGTTTATATTTTTTATTTTCTGTATATTATGATGTTTTGACGTGTTAAAACCTTTCAGGCTAGGGACAGATGGCCACTCCCTGGGCTGGCCAGTTCCTGGAGACAGCCAAGGGCTCACCCAGGAGCAACTGTTTGATGTGCAAACTAACCAATCCACAGCTCCTCCATCTGGCCTGTGCCCAGGAAGAGAGTAATCCTCTGCCTTCATCATCCCGGTGCCTGGTGCCAGACGACTAGGCACCCCCATGGCTCAGAGTCTGCAGCCAGTCCTAACCCATTCCCCCTGCCCTGCCTTTCCTCAGAAACTCCAATAAAGGCTGGGCCCAGCCTCCCTCAGGCTCCTGACCTGCCCTAGGACTTTCCCATGTGGCCCTCGTGTTGTACAGTGCCTCCTGTTTCTAGGACCTGTGCGTATAAGACAATTTGCTTTCCTGAGCTCTTCTGTTCTCCTCTTGTGGCCACACCTGACTGACCATCACATAAAAGAACCCAGAACAGAACCATCACCACCATCCATCTCCAGAACTTTTTTCACTTTCCCAAACTGTCCCCATTAAACAATAACTCTACATTCCCCTCTCCCACCAGCCAATCCTGTATTTCAATTAAAGGGTGACACGATGGATATAAGTCAATTAACAATGTTTCAAAGATATTCTGGAATTCAGCTTCAGACGCTGGTAGCATATGCGTATGTTTTTGCATTAACTACCAATGAATTTGCTCTGGGAAAAGTATCAAGCGCTAAACCCCACAGGTCAAGTGAGCTTACATTTGTTCCAGCTCTGTCTACAGGGCTTTGCTAAGAATACAGAGCTCGTAGTGACACCTACACAGCGGCACAGATGAAAACCAGCGGGTTTCAGATTCATCTTCTATAGAATCCTCACAGCCTCCCCCGGAGACGTCCTCGTGGCCCTGGCTGGGTATGGTTTGTTCCCGAGACTTTCCTACCCAATACAGCCACCCAGCACGTTCAGAATTTGAGAGCAAATGAGAGCTTTATCTGCTCATTGAAATCACATGAGGAGCGTTAAAATACAGACTCTCCCTTAGCAATTCTGATCAATCCAATCTGGGCTGTAACGTGGGCACCACAGCTTTTAGACGCTCCCAGGGGATTCTAACGTGCAGCCAAGATTGAGAACCAGCACTTAGAACCTCGGCCAACAGCTGAAATAGTTAAAAATCGCTCATTTATCACACCCCAAAACAAAAGACTCACTTGGGCCTGGCCAATCAAGCAAAAGCTTTGAGCTTCTGGAATTCAGCTCCTAGAACGGATTTGCCTTCGGAACTTGAACCCCATGGAGACAGCAGCTGATATTTCCTGAATAACTATGCGTGCCAGGCACGGTGCCAAGCAATTTGTGGCTTCTGTTTACTCCTTACTCGAACCTGCAAACTGCTATTGCTCCCATCTTCGTAAGGAGGAAACCACACTTCGAAGGTTCGCGTCACCTCACCCAGTCACACTCCCTGAAGCATGGAAGCCGCGAGACCACACGCAGGCTGTGGGACCTCGCTCTCCCGCAGCCACTGCACAGCTGCGCCGTCTGCATACGAAGCCTGCGATGCACAGCCTCCTCTCAGAAACTCACCGTCACGGCCCGAGTTAGGGCTCGGAGGGGACTTCTTTTCAAAGGTGTCACAAAGGGTAATGGGTATCACTGTTCCTGTTTAGATTTAGAACCATAACTATATCTAAGTAGCTGCGTGACTTTCTTCGGGACCTTTCTTTCTCCACACTTCCCGAAGCGGCACCGCAGGGAGGTCGCTCCATGTCCATCCGCCTCGTGAAAGGCACTGGGGCGCCCCGGCTATGGGCGCTGCATGACCCATTCCTTCAAAAACTCTCTCGGGGAAATTATTCCCCAGGTATACAATGTTTTAAGGAATCCCATTTCCCCAAATCACAGGTGCTTTGTGGTGGAGGGAACAGAAGCCAACTTCCCTGCAGAAGCAAACACTGGCGCATGCATACGGCTCCAGCACGAAAGAGCGTGGCCCCTCTGCTTCAGGTGACCCCAGAACTGGCCACAACAGAGAGCCAGCGCCAGGGCTTAGAGCTCTGGCCTGTAGACTCCAGGGGGTGGCTCTTAACCCTTCAGGAAAATGATGGACACAATGAACCATCTACTCAGAACTCAGATCAACACAAAACTTTGCAAATGGCTTCAAAGTGGCCCATGCACTGTCCATGGAGCGCATTAGGAAGCCTGACAGAGAGGGTGTTTCAGCCTCTGGGGAACCACTTTCCCTAACCCTCGCCCCTCCCACCACATGTGTGTCCCAACTGCAGAATTCTTAAGCCTAGTTTTCTGTTAGAGGGGAACAGTTTTAAGCAGCAAAATATTCTGAAGAAAATGAAGCGTAGGACACCTTGGTGATATAACTTGAGGCACAGTGGACCTGAGCTCAAAATGAGAAAGGGAGAGGTGATCAGAAACTTCAAAATAAAGGCCAGGAGAAGCCACGGACGCCTGGCAGCTGAAGCTGCAGATCAGCCTGGGTCTCAGGCCTTCAGCTGAAGAGACATGTTGACCGCCTTCCTGAAATGCTATCTCCAGAGGTCACCACCACTTCTAGTCTTCTTTTTTTTTTTAACTTAATATTGTGATGGGCTCTTGACATGCCAGAAAAGAAGTATACCATCCCCAAAAGCTGTTTTTCTTTAAGCTGAGGACCTGGCCGTATTCATCTGAAACACCAGTGAAGAACGCCTTGGCCAAGGGTGTAGACACCATGCACAACTTCTCTTCTGGGAAAAGGACTATGCTTCTTACTCTCTAAATTTTAAAAACTCAGTGTAATTGCGTCTTTATTCACAACCACCACTTCATAACATCAAATGGCAAAGTTAAAGATGTCAAGTGAAAACACACATGGAGGAACTTCTCTTAAAGGTCATGTGTTGAAACCTTTTCAACAATCCCCCAACGCATCGTCAATGGTCCTAAATGATAAAGGACCTTGCAGTAGCTCCTGGATATCAACTCACACATTGCCAGGCAAGTTCACTGTGGTTATGCATACAGATTTTGGGATTTCTCTTTCATCCCTACTAGAGTTGTGATATTTTGCATGTATGTAACTGACCAACTTCCTATCAGTTTTATAGCCCCCATTCATGTTACACTCTACATAAAGATTACGAAGAGTGAAGAGAAAACTTCAGTACTGTTTACTTGAGTTTGTTCTGTATTGCAAAGATCATATTTCTACTGATCAGATTTTCTAGAAATTATAGCCCTAAAGAATTTCTAAAGATGAAGATATTTTTAGGATGAGTCAATGGTTCATTCTTGAAATTTTAGAACCAAATTAAAATGCACTTTATCCTAATGGCATGTGGAGAACAGTTTAAAATGGACAGAATCTACCCACAATGATTAGTAAAGCTGCGTGAAGGCAGCTTGGTGTAGGTTGGAAATTAAGACACAAATAGTATCTTATGCAAGGATGGAGGTCTGATATATTTCCTGTGTTCTGTTCCATTTCAGGAAGAAAGTTTCTATTTATCTCTGTGAAACGATGACAGCACTGATTAACATAAGGAGGAATTTATTAATTTATACAATATCCCTTTAGTGGGTAAACAGTTTGGAATACGTTGGTCCCATGCAGATTTCATATCGGACAGCCAAAATAATGTCATTTCCTAAACACCACATGCTTTTTATTATCACGTAAGAAATGTTTTATGTGTACCAATGGAAGATTTTATCTGAGGGGTAATCTGATTATTTCTTAATTTAGACCAGCATTTACATGAGGAACCTCCTAAAATATGGGTCTCAGCCTTTTAATTCATAGGTCTGTGGAGAAGAAAAAAGGGTCACACCCTTGGCCTCAGCTCAGGCCCTTGATCTGACAGGGAGAGAAAGGTCTTTGCCATTTTATTTTTAAAGTGAACAAGTTAGAATTAAGAGGCCAGGTGGTCCATCGTCACAATCTTGGATTAATCTTCTCGTGTTACCCCTGAGATGAGTACTTTCTCTCCTGAGAGTGTGGTGGTTCCGAGCACAGCCTCAGTGCTTAACTGCCTGGCTTTGAATTCTGGCTCCAACACTCAGCAGCTGGGGGACCCAGGGTAAGTTATTTGCCTCATCTGTAAAATGGGAATATTTTACAGGTGGTTATGAAGATAACAGGTTCGTCTCAGTAAGCATTAGCACTCAGAGACGTTAGCCATTTGGATGGTGATAATAATGGTGTCTGAGGTTGACCTTGACTTCACTACAGGGCACTGGCATTTTGCATTTTGATAGTTTCATTTCCAAACTTTGGAAGTCCTAGACTGGCATTCTTGGAGGAAGCAGTAATTCTAACCTGCCCACCCACTGGGACAACGGCTGACAGCAGCAGCTCCAGGTTTCTCAAGTCCCCGCTCCTGAAGGGCTGGACCAAGCTGGTGTCCCACCGGGTACTCAGCCGTGAACTGTCCTCCTTACTGGGCTGGTGGTGCGGCCCCTTTTTGAGGGGCACAGAAAGCAGCTCTGTTATCCCGAGGAAGGAATAGGCAGAGAGAGGGTAAACTGCCAGTGTTTTCTGGGACACAAGGAAGAAAATTAGTTCAAACAGCTCATTAATAATTATTTTACATTGATTACGTTTTGAATTGATGATATTTTGGATATATTAAGTAAATTATATTGATTAAATTATACTGATTAATCAGTATAATTAATTACTGATTAAAATTAATTTCATCTGTTTCTTTCAACCTTTTGTTCAGCGGCCACTAGAAAATCTAAGTTTCCATATGTGGCTCATGCTGTATTTCTGTTGGGCTGCGTGTGCTCTGCTAGAGGAACAGGAGAACTCAAGGCAATCTCATGGTGCCCCCGGTCAGGACATGCGGAAATGATTCCTGCCTCGGGTGGGAGACTGGACAGGCCATTTCTGACCACAGTTTTGGTGTGAGCCAAGTAAACTAAAGGGACCTGGGGGAAAGTGCCCTGGAGCACACAACAGGCATTTGAAATAGCAGAACAAACTCACCAAACAGTGGCCATGAGTTTTGAATCATCAGATAAGCCCTCCTTACCTATGTAAGGATACTGCAGCATTTCATAAGGTTTAAAGTGCTACGTAAACAAAAGACACTAACAAGGACCAAGAATCTACTGACAGAACAGAATTGGTCAATGGCTCGTCGATACTTCCCATTTAAGGTGGGTTCATTTAAGGTGGGTTCCAATATCTGCTTGGTGCCTAGTGGGCTACCTAGTCATCTGGAAAGTGTGTCACTGGGCCCCAAGGCAAGAAGTCAGCTCGCCCGTCTTCCTGAGTGTGTTCACACGAGGCTCTCCTGCTCAGAGTCCTCGCCGTGCCTATCTGCAGAAGCAGACCTGGGTCACGTGTGCTGATAGTGTCCATGCTGAGCAGCAGCTTGGGGGAGCCGAAGCCCCCTCATAATCTTCCTCTGGCCCTTCAGGCCATGAACAGGCATTCAAAGAAAAACACAGCTTCAGAGAAAACCTGCTCTCCCACTCCAGAGCAGACTCCCCACTCTTGCACTTGGCACCTCTGGAGCTGCCCCGGCTTAATATTAAATGAAGGGGAGATACATATACATATATTTGAAAGTCAACATGTGGCAATGATAGAATTCAGGATAAAAGGCAAATTTACTTGAAAACGGGAACCTGTTGAAAATCACTGCCTTTATCTTAAAAATACAGTTTGTGCAGAGGGTCAGTCACAATCAAAGGTGAGACCTTCTCCCTCCTGTTCTTGTCTAAAGGCTTAGGAAAGTGAATAACAACCCTCCTCACCAGTATGTGGCCACCTCCGAGCTCATCGCAAGGCTGTTTACGTAGCTGGGGTGGGGGATATTTTTACACATGCACTCGCGGAGGACAGACAGAACTCCAAGGACTGACATCCCCATCCACACCAGTCCAAGGCAGGCACTCCCCAGTTCAGAAATGGTTTATGTCTCCCAAGTTGAATTCTAAGTTGTTTAGTGAACTTCAAATGCTTTCTCTCAGACACATGTTCTGCATCGTAGTCCCAGCCCCCAAAAACTTGATTTAGCTCCTAAAATAATTGAAAGGTTCTACCAGTAAAAGAAAACAACTGCATAGAAGCCACATTGGTTTCTATATCTTAGCATTCCCGTTGCACAAACTGCCCGGCTCAGGGTGTAATGGGAGATGCGGCTCGCATGGTCCTACTTCATTTGATAACAGCGTACCTTTTACATCCTCCATCTCATTCCCCCCGTGCACTCAGACCCGCCTATACCCTGACAGAGAACAGGGTAGAAGTGTGAGGACAGTGGGGACCAGGGAGAAAAGAACACAGCTGAGAAAGAGTTGATCTGGGAGAGGTCATATCCAGGGTTTAGGGCCCTGTGTCCTTTCCCACCCCGAGGATGAACGTACGGAGAGAATCAAAAGCAGTGAAGGGGGCAGGAGGGAGGATGAAGTTACTTCTTCAGCCTTTACAGACCATACCTGCTCATGGCAGGCACTGTCCATCTCTCTTTCCTCTGAAACTATGGCAGGTGGGAGTCTCTGCTGACTGCTTACCCCCTGCAGGGTCAGTCTTGTTCTCTTGAAGAGTAGCAAGCAAAGCTACCAAAACTTCTAGCTCTCACTGCTCTCTATGAGGCCCGCCATGCTCAGACAGACCCCAGGCTCTGCTCCCGTGTTACACCTTAGGGAGCATCATAGAACTAACTGCTGGGGTTGCCCCAAACCAGGCCAGCACCCACCCGGGAACCCAGGCTCCTGTCCTCCAGCTCCCAGGGCCGCCTCTGGCCTGCTGGGTCACGGCAGGTGCGAGGATGAACCAGCCACTCCTGCGTGTGGCTTTGTGCTCCTAAAGTGCACAGCTGTACACTCAAGAACACCTGTACATGTGTGACAGTAACATCAAGAGGATGTTTTGTAACAGGATACAAACGTCTGCTCCAGAAGGATCTCCAAAGCTTAGCAGGGTTCCTCCAAGCCAAGGTCTTGTCCTCTAATTATCACTATGGACACATTGTGAATTGCCAGGGCCACAGAGAGTTATACTCCCAGTATGTAAATTGAGAAACCTTTAAACTAGGTGTTTGTTGAACTTTTAGGGCAAATAATAAATGCTCTGAACGTTGGCCACGGGACCCCTCTGACCCCTATGGGTTGGGTACCACACTTGCCCTGGGAGACACAGCAGACAAGGCAGGAGGATGGCATGAGCCGGCAGGAAGTCGGGCTGTGCTGACAACCTCCGAAGGCGGAAGGGGCTGCCCGCGCCGCAGGTCCTGAGCCAGGCTGTTCCTGGTGGGACGGGGCCCTCTCCAGGGGCTTCCGACTCTCGGACGGGGCGCAGGGCTGGCTTAGCCAAGGGCCAAGGCTCCCTCCCAGGGGGACTGTGTGACCGTCTGAGAAACGCCAGGGTTAGGGCAGGAAGGAAGCGGGGTGAAGGTGAGAGAGGGAAGGCTACAGACCTTTACAAACCAGGACATGTGTTTACAAGTTTCCAAACGGGTGGGAGTGAGAGGGGAAGTGTGGGAAGGCTGCGCAGAGCAGGGCTGCGGACTGAGCGACTTACTGTGAAAGGCAAGGAGCAGACGGCGAAGGTGATGGTCATAATAGCCAGGAGGATGAGGTGGTCCATCTCCTCCGCCATGGACACCCGTTCGCCTCTCCTGCGCGTCCCAGGGCCGCCCGGGCCGCTGCCCAAGGCGGGCGCGCAGCAGCTTCCCCTGGCCCGGCGGTGCATGCGGACGAGGTGGAGGATGACGCTGAGGTTGCAGGCGAGCACCGCGACGATGAGCACCAGCAGCAGCGTGGCGTAGAGCTGCAGGTACGCGGTGCGTCCATGCCGGATGAAACACCACGTCCCAGGGCAGTACTGGGAGTACTGCCTGTCGCCCAGCAGCGGCAGGGAGCAGAAGAGCAGGGACGCGGCGTAGACGGCGGGCAGCACGACGAGGCCGCCGCGGCGCGTGACGCGGCGCTGGTACAGGTAGGGGTGCCCGATGGAGAGGTAGCGCTCCAGGGCCATGGCGAAGAGCATGAGCATCGTGGCCAGGCTGAAGAAGGTCATGGCGAAGGCGAAGTAGGTGCACGCGCGGCCCTCGGGCGCCAGTGCCACCAGAGTCTGGTTCCGCGCGTACGAAGCCAGCACCACGGGGCTGATGAGACAGGTCCCCAGCAGGTCGGTGAACACCAGCTCGGTCACCAGCACGTGGAACAAGGAGACGGAGCTCCCGCGGCCGGCGCTGCGCCCCGCGTCCCCCAGCCAGCGGCGCGCCAGCAGCGCCAGCGCGATGAGGTTCCCCAGCACCCCGGCCGAGAACATCACGGAGCTGATGGCTGGGCTCTCGCCCGAGGGGAGCCACTGTCGAGACTCGCAGTCCCCGGGCCGGGAGTTATTGGAGGCATTGCCCATGGTGGGGCGTCAAGAGGGAGACGGGTCCTCCTCTCCCGGCCTGTACCTGGGGGGAGGAGGGTCTGAGAGCCGGAGGGATGGAAGCCGCAGCCCCTTCCGGGCCCCTGCGCGGGCGGAGGGCAGGCTCGGCCGGTCTGCAGCCGCTCCCGCTCGCGGAGAGGCCGCTGGGCTGCAGCATCCGGGCGGCGCTCGAGGCTCCTCCGCCGGCCCGCGCCCGCGCCCAGGGGCCGCCTCCACCTCCACCTCCACCTCCGCCTCCTCGCGGGGCCGGGCTCGCGCGGCGCCCAGCTGTCCCGGGAGCGCCCGCCAGCTGCCCGGAGCGGGAGGCGGCCCCTCGGGTGGCGGTCGGGGCTCGGAGCCGCTGGCCCCCGCCGGGCGGCGCTTACTCAAGCGGAGGGCTGGGCGCGCGCGGGCGGTGCGGGTCTGCGCGGAGTTCCCCGAGGGCGGGGCGACCGGAGAGCAAAGCGACTCAGCAAACGGCAGGGAAGTGGGGAGGCCCCAACCCGTGAGAAGTGGAAACGACGGAAAATACGGACACCAAAGACGGCTTACAGCAAGACCCATATCTTCTCTTTCTTTTTTTAGCATTCTCAGGAAGATACCGAAGAGGGCGGGACCCGTGAGGGAGGAAGTGAAAGCGGCCGGTCCAGCCGGGACCGACCCGCGCGCCCAGCGCCTGCTGCGCTACTGCTCGATCTGCTCGCCGTCATTTCGCCTTTTCCTATGTCAACATCGTAGTGACAACCACTTGTTTAAGCAACCATTTACAAAAGGAAAAAAGAAACGTTCCTTGTAATTCTGTAGAATTGTGTTTGCGGACACAGCTTGACACCACTGCACATTGCTCTGGACTCAAGCTCAGTCTTCAAAGAAAATGTTTAGCCATTAATTTTTTCCACGTTCAGTTAACCGTCCGGAAGACCCATTCCTGGTAAAGTTTATTGGTAAGTGGCCAGTTTCAGAGACTGGAACTGACAAAAAATGGTTGCTGACCAGCTATTGTCGTAATTGCAGAGTCTGAAAATGGGCTGATGTTTAAAACAAAAAAAATTCCGGTTTGACAGATGATGTGGGTAATTACATTGTGTAAGGAAGGTTCTTTTCACTCAGGGAAGGGAGGACTGGAATGATCCGCATGCGGAACTGGGCTGGAAAAACGTCGCGATGTTGGCGTAAAGGGAAGATGGCCCGCTGAGGAGCGCACCTCACTACAGCCAGCTTGCTCTCCAGGAGTATGTCGGCTCCCCCTGGTAATCCGCCCTGGGGATCGGGAAGTGATGGGGTTCCCAACAGGGCGCGCTCACAGGGGGCCTATTTTTCTCATATAAGAAGTTCAGTGGGGCCGGCTGGTGGCCCTCCCAGGACTCCCCTGCAGCCCGTCATTCCTAACATGCTGGCCTTCTGTCTACGTGCTCCTCCCCACGTGGTCACCAGTGCTGCCTGTATCATGAGGATTCAACTAGAGAAACAGAACCACTATGAGTGACAAAGAATGAAAGATTCTTTTTTTTTTTTTTTGGAAGGTATGCTTTTGTTAGTGAGGAAGATTGGCCCTGAGCTCACATCTGTTGTCAATCTTCCTCTTTTTGCTTGAGGAAGATTGGCCCTGATTGCACATCTGTTGCCACTCTTCCTCTTTTTTTTTTTTTCCCCTCCCCAAAGCCCCAGTACATAGTTGTATATCTGAGTTGTAGGTCGCTGTGGTTCTTCTGTGTGGGATGCTGCCATAGCGTGGCTTGATGAGTGGTGTGTAGGTCCGCACCCAGGATCCAAACCAGGGAGCTCTATGCCACATAAGTGAGTGTGGGGACTTAACCATTCGGGAACATGGCCAGCCCAAGAGATTTATTATTAGGCACTAGACCTACGCTGTTCAATATGGTAGCCACTAGCTACATGTGGCTATTTAAATTTAAATGAATTAAAATGAAATGAATAAAAACTTAGCTTCTCAGTTGCACTAGGTACAGTTCAAGTGCCCAATAGCCACATGTGACTAGTGGTTATCATATTGGTCAGCTCATATATAAAACACTTTCATCAGCACAGAAATTCTGTTGGACAGTGCTGCATTAGACCTTACGTGATCATGGGAGCTGATGGAGGAGTCTGTGCAGGTCTATTTGCTGTCTTTGGTTCGAATGTTGAGGCTGAAGTCACCATAGGTCAGCCAGAAGTTCAGTCAGGGTAGAAAGCTGGATGTGCATGAGAGCAAAAACAGACTTGGAGCCTGCCAGGACAAACTGGAATTCATGAACAACTGGAATCCTCAAAGACAGTCTGGATCCACATGTGTCTCTCATTACCTTCAAACTCAGTAACACAGTTGTACTGCAAGAGAAGCTGCCCCTGTCACGGAGCTGCACCTGTTCTTGGGTTAGGACTTGGAGCAGCTGGAGTCTGGGTGTGGTCTCGTGCCAACAAGGTGTGCCAGCAGATCAGTGACAGTGTGCCAGAGTTACCCCCTTGCCTGGAGCCCCGCAGTGTCCTTCAGAGCATGGAAACCATGGCTGTTGCTTTGCATCTGCCTTCCAGATCTCATGCAACATCTCTCTCATGGCCAACATTAACCTGAAACCATGCAGGATTCTGGAAAGGGGATCCTGCTTAGCTGAGCTGACACAGTACAAAGTCACCACACTGTCCCACAGGTCCAGGTGTCAAGTCTGCACTGAAGGCGGAGAGCAAGGGAGAGACAGCACCATGAGCTTGCTCTCTCCTGTGCCTGTTTCTTTCATTAGGAAAGCAAAAGGTTTTCTAGAAGCACTCCAATAGACTTCCCTTCATATCTCATTAGCCAGAACTTGGTAAAATGGCCTCCCCTTAGCTCCAGATGAGGCTGAGAAACAGGGTATTGAGCATTTCCAGCCTCTTCTAGAGCAGAGGCAGGCAAGGAGGAAGGGGCTGGGACTGGCATGGGTTAGTCAACTGACGGTGTCTGCTGAGATATGCACAGTGCGTTCCCCACCATCCCCTCCTTATGGCTGGAAGGAACGTTCAAGAACACCCACTCCAAGTCCTTCATTTGTGTTTGACAAAACTGAGGCATAGAAAGGTTGACTTACCCAAAGACACACAGAGTTAGTGCAATAAAGCTAGCAGTATGGGAGTCAGACCATCTTATTTACATCCCAGGCCCCTGTATATTGCACACATGGTCCATTTAAAGCCATAAAGGCACACATAACGAGATAACCATCCTCAGTGCTACACCAGAACTCATTGGCAAATCACTCAACACAATTCAGATGTCACTTTTTGCCTGACACATTGGTAAAGGTTGAAAAGATTGCACATACCCAGTATGACCAAAGATAGAAATGGGCCACCGTTGGTGGGAGTGCAACCTTTCTGGTGGGAAAAGTTTATTCATTATTAGAAATTTCAAATATGCTTCATCCCAGAAATAATGTTATAGAAATGTATTGCCCTAGGGAGACATTATTGACAAGTACACAAAGATGTTAGACACACACACACACACACACGGAGCAGAAAGAATGTTCATTATTGCAAGAATCTAGAACTAAATGTCCTTCCATAGAGGATTGGTTTAATAAATTTTGCTATACCTATGCAATGGAATATAGTCATTAAAAGGATGATGCATATCTGCATTTATTAATAATGGTCTTTACCACATACTGAGTTAAAAGCATGTATATTATTCCATTCATATAAAATTATATGTGTAATTATTTGCATAGAGCAACATCTAGAAGTATGATGAACAGCAGTTTCAATGGTAATTTCTCTGGGTAATACTTTCTTCTTTCTTTTCTAACTTTGTCAAGTTCCTCAAATCTTTTTTTTTAAAGATGAGCTAACATCTTTACAGACTAACATCTGTTGCCAAGCTTCTTTTTTTCCCCTTCTTCTTCTTCTCCCCAAAGGCCCCCAGTCATAGTTGTATATTCTAGTTGTCAGTCCATCTGGTTGTGCTCTGTGGGACGCTGCCTCAGCATGGCTTGATGAGTGGTGCCATGTCCACACCCAGGCTCTGAACCAGCGAAACCCTGAGCAAGTGAAACAGAGCGCAGAACTTAACCACTCAGCCACAGGGCCGCCCAAATACTGTCTTCTTTATGGTTGTCTGCTTTGGTTGATTTTTCTGTAAGTATGTATTACCTTTATATTAGGAAATTCAAGGAAGCTGCTTTTTGTTTAGAAATATTTAATCATTAGAGGAGACTGTCTTTTCTACTTGGCAGAAGGCAAGGAGTTAGGTGCTAATGTTTAAATTCCCTTCCAGGGCTGGCCTGGTGGCACAGCGGTTAAGTGCACTTGTTCCGCTTCAGTGGCCTGTGGTTTGCCAGTTCGGATCCTGGGGTCAGACATGGCACTGCTTGGCAAGCCATGCTGTGGTAGGCATCCCACATATAAAGTAGAGAAAGATGGGCATGGATGTTAGCTCAGGGCCAATCTTCCTCAGAGAAAAGAGGAGAATTGGCAGCAGTTAGCTCAGGGCTAATCTTCCACTAAAAAATAAATAAATAAATAAAGAAAAATAAATTCTCTTCCAGTTCTACATTTGGAATAGATGGTCTTGCCAGTTGCTTGATCCTGGTCAAGAAGATTGGAGATGCTATCCTTACATTTTTCACACGGGTTTTGCAACTGTCCTTCCTATTTGAAGACTGGAAATCATCACACATTGTGCACCATTTCTAATGAGATCATGCCCTGCCCCCTTCAAGTGACTGCTGTGACATTAGATTCTTGTCATCCCTTAGGGTCACTGCTTAACCCAGTTCTGACACAACTATCACCAAAAAGTCCCTCTCTCATAAAGGTGGTAACAAAAAGTCAAATGGTCAAAACCACAAAAGAGCAGTCAATAGAAACCAGCTTGGAGATACGTTCAAAGAATTCAGGGAAATTGTGAGTGGGCGGGTAGAGAATCTTAGTAGAGAAATGGAAACTATAAAAAAGAACCAAATGGAAATTCTAGAACTACAATTTACAGAACTTGGAGGTGGTAGAAGAAAGACTAGGCATATCGGGTCGCCTTTCCTTCCATGTCGTCATTGCTTCTGTGCTCGTGGGAAGTATTCTCACTCCTTCCACGCTGTGTGAGGCTGAGAGAACTCGGCTCCTGCTGCGCGCCCTGTTTCCACCCAAGAAGCGAAGCAGGGGTTTTCTATGCTCTCAGATTCCTCAAGCCTCTCTGAGATTTGGGGTACAGGCCACATTATCTAAGAAACCCACGTGTTGACATCTAAGCTCTCTTGTTCTCTTGCACTTCATTTTCCTCCTCTGCAGCCTATGGAACGAGCTGGGGGAAGTGGAGCAACTTTGCTCCTCATCGTCTCCTCTGGGTCTTCTTAGGCCTAGTGTTTCGAAAGTCATAAGCCAAGAATTGATGCCTGTGTTCCGTTGCATTGTCCTTTCTCTGAACCAGTCAGCACAGAACGCCCCAGCTGCTGCTAAAACTGGGGCAAGATCTGGAGTTTCAGGAAGTACTGGGCAAAAAATACATAGTAAACATGTCCAATTAGTGTCCAGCTACATCTGCATTCATTTGGCATGTGTGTGTCGCTTATCACAACCTCACAGGAGTGTTTGACAAACAGCTTGATAAAGTCTTCGCAAATCCCTGAGTCAATAAAAAGTGCATTGCAAATGGTTGTAAGATTACAACAGTTCTCTTGTCCTCAGGCAGGAAATGTCAGAAAGGTAAATCCACACACTGCTTATTAGCGCCAGGAGTTAGATGAAATGAGTCACTTGATGATGCTAGGAGGCAAATTACTTGGGATTCTAACTTCCTTTTTAAGACTGGTAGATGAAAACCCAGCATAATCATGAACACTCTCTTTTCTTAGAAAGATTTGCTTCCAGGGACAGAGAAAAGCACATGTAACACAAAAGCAAGGCAATGGTTATTCAACTTAAAGCAACAACTCATCACAGACACTTTGGAAAAACGGAAGGAAGAAGAAAACTCACCCGTGAATGTATCCATCAAAATTGACCACTCAGCATTTGGATGTGTTTCCTTCAATTTTTCTTCTATGCAGCTTTTTTTGTTTCCATAGTTGTGATAATATATTATAGATAAATTTTTATATGGTTTTTTAAAAACTTTATAATGAATAGCTTCTGTTGCAATATGTATTAAGGGCCTTAAAAATGTGCATGCTCTGAGACCCAGAAACCGCACTTCTAGAAATCTATAATCCGTTTATTTATTCACGCAACAATGATTCATTAAGACATCTGTTTACTGAGGCAGCACAGTATAGTTTTAAGAGCATGGGGTCTGGAGTCAGATTGCTTTGAATTCAAATTTTAGTTCTGCT